CAACTAACATCAGACTTCATGTGCAAACCTGATTCTCTCAACACTTACTCATTTCAGCAAATGTGGCGGATCGATACAAATTACTGGCATTTGCTACCTACGCAAATCTGATTCCCTGGTGTGGCAATAATTCTTTCATTACATTGCGGCAAATCACGGCGTTAATCTGCAAATTTATTCCGGAGGTTAATGTCATAAGACGAACATATAACGTTAGAGTTGTATTTTTATGGATAGATTTGGTAAGTGCGTCAGTAGATGGATCCAGCGTCGAAGAGCAACACAGGGCACAAGTTGTAAATATTAAAACTGTGCACTTTTGCATGAAGTTTCAAGTTTGAATGATGACACTAGCTGCAGTCATATCGTTTTTTTTAATCCTGTAGCATTGATGCCATCAATACGAGAAGATGCTAGGATGGCAAACAGTGAAAGACAGGATCCATCAGAAAGGACTGAGGACTTTCAGTAGAATAATAAATGAAAGACAACCTGTTTCCCTGTATAAGACCATCACATTACAGTCACATGGGTACCATATATACCAGAACATCGGACTCACGGACTGTCCACCTTCCTAAACCTAGAACGAATGCACAGAAAAGGAGATTTCTGTATAGGATGTCCAGTGCCTGGAATGAAATGAAGTGGTGATGATGTATATAGCCTTATTTCATTTTAAGCTGTGTTAATATGTTGTAATTGTTGTCAATGTATTTATGTTTTGTAAATGTGTGTCATGTGTGTCTTGAAGGACCACAGGAAGAATAGCTACAATACAATTTTTGTAAGCTAAGTGTGGATCCCAATAAAGTCAAGTCAAGTCTAGTAAATATTGATAAGAAGAGCTGTCCGATAACAATTTCCGGGCCTGACGCATCCACACGATGACCCTCCTGCCATTGCTTGTCACTCATGGTGTTGCCCATACAATGATCTGTCAGTGCAAAACACTTTGGTACAAGTAGAATGTCCAACGTGTGCAGTATTCCTGTGAAGGTTTTGACCAGCCAAAACCTTGTCTGATGTTCTTTCATAAAATTCATGTCCATCCTGGCAAGACATGTACAATTAACTTAACATGAGATGAAAGTGTCAAGGATCTTGATACAAATTGACTCCAATACACTACAATATAAGCTTAAACAGGAGATATTTTGCCTTTTGCATGAAGAACATTAACGCTATAGTTTTGCAAAGTACATTACACAGGAAAAGCATAATGTCGACCACATAATATTACCAATGATATACATGTTCTGTTTGGATGTACTACAGTAAATATTTTCATATACTCTTGTGAAGGTAACACGCTTTCCAGACTCGGATCTGAGAATTCTATAAAATCTGGCATCACTTCAGCCAAGGCTGCTTGCCATTGTTAGATTTCGTCTCTTAATAAACCATCCATTCATTCCGCACATGGTACCCATACAGTTTATGCTACCATACATCGACGAAATAAGACTGCCAGGAATATGATATCTTGTTGTCGTTGAACGAGTTACATTATGCACACACATTCCTAACGGCAGCTACACACCAACATGACCTATTTACATTGAGATCCGTTCCTTCTGACGGCTGTATATATAGGACGTATTGCCTGGAGCAGTAAACATGCAATGCCGAGCACAATTGAACTTTCAATGTTTTGTATACGTGCAAACCACTTTGATACATGTAGAATGTCAAAGATTTGCAGCATTCTTGTAAAGATGATATGCTTACCGGTGTATTGTAATTCTTATATAATTATAATATTGTGTAAAAATGCCGACAGGACAATGGTTGAATGCTGTAAAATCTGGCATCACTTCAGCCAATGCTGGCTGCCATTGTTGGATTTCGTCTTCGCAATAAACCATCCATTCATTCAGCACATGGTACCCATACAGTTTATGCTACTATACATCGACGAAATAAGATTGCGATTTTTTATGATATCTTGTTGATAATAAATAATATTAAATGGTTTATTGGCCAAACATCACCCGTGCAATCGCAGCCTTATAGTGCTGAATTGATGCAGGGTTTACAATCAGATGATACAAATGGTAATAATACACATAATAATACACATAATACACATGATACATATTTGTTCCACCTACATTTTTGTGGAACTGCCGGAAGGGTCTGTGCAGCTGCCATTCAGCGCCACAAGGTGACCTCAATACGGCTTCCCCCCCCCCAACCGAAGTTAGGTACCCATTCACACCTGGGTGGAGTGAGGAAAGTCGTGTAAAGTGCCTTTCCCAAGGGCACAATCTTCGGTCGCATGTCCAGGGTACGACTCGGGATCGAACCCGGGTCTCCCGGTTCACAGTCGAATGATCTACCACTACGCCACCCGACGACAATCTTGTTGCCATTGAACCACGGATGTGCAATATAGGCTGTTCCATCTGTTTTATGTCTTCAGAAGTTCGATAAAGCGAGTACACTAATCTTAGTGGTGACGACAATCACGCAATTGACGTCAAGCAGCTTCAAAATTACGTCATGTCGCCGTTACGTTACGTTATCATAATTGCATCCAGGCAATAAATTTAATCTGTAATTTAAGAAGGCGAACTGTTTAGTCATAACCTTACTTCCGCCAGCTTAACTAGGTACAGCGCTGCCACAAGAATTTCGTGGCATTTCATTTGTGTATTGTAGAAGAGTAATTGTAGAAGAGTAGCTAGAGAGATAAAGGAAAGACGACGCTTGAATTAAAAGACATCCAATGTAATTTCAGGGCGGCAAAAATGCAAATATTCTGAATAAGGCAATCTGTATGATATTGAATCATTGATTTGAATCAGTATTTTATACTTTCAGGCATTTAAAACTGCAGAAACAAGCCCCAAGATTAATCCTTTATTTTCTGGGTGGTACCCTCAAAATCAACCCAGGTCCTTCCAGTAACCGTTTTTCGTCAGAATGTTTTGGCATTTCTGCTCCATGAATGTCGATATCCATTGGTACAGTGTTGTTTTAATTTAGAATGTAGGTAGGTGACTAGAATATTGATTTTGAAAAAAATCTGGTTTCTAAGCACTAAAAACTGCACTTGGTGCCTTTTAAACAAAATTTGATAACTTGGCTAAAGGTCTACCTGATACGTGAAATCATAAAACAGGATAATTTAAACTGGCGACCAAGCAGTAATAATTTCATCCCTACAATTGATTGATAACTGGTACGTTGCCCATGTCTTTAAGCCATAGAGTGTGTATACTATTTTGAATTCACGAATTCTATTTCATATATTCTATTGACCCCAGCCTGTTATAACACTATCTACGTGTTGCTTTCCATCCGACATTAAACTACAACAAACTGGTTATTTGCGTAGACTTCATAGGCATCCAACGCAATGTTTAGGGCTTGGAAACCCGATTTCTCAAATCCGATGTTCTAGTCATTTATCTACATACTGAGTTGAACCACACTGTCCCAATGTATATTGACCCTCATGGAGCAAAAACTCTCAACATTCTGACGCAAAATGGTAAATGGATGGGCCCTGATTTTTAAATCAGTATTAAATGTGCTAATGGGAAGCAGTATGTGTTAATGTCACAAAGATTGCCTTATTCAGAATATTTCCAGTTTTGCTGCCCTGAAATCGTATTGAATGCATTGAAGCTTATGTTGTCATAACGCTTTGTATGCTCTTCAGGAGCACCCATTGCAGCGTGGGTTGGCTGATTTAAAATGCCAAGCCGTTATCAGCGTGCGAGAAACATGTTTCCCGATCCCCCTTTCCGTTTCCTCGCCCGCCGCACGCCGCTTGACCGGAAAGCCCAAATGTCATGTGCTCGGGGGCAAGAAAGACCGGTGCAGATATAAGACCATGCCCTCGCCATTAACCCCAATCTCTCCGTGTACCGTTCGGAATGACTTTCCCCCGCTTGTGACTTATTCAGTAACGGCAGCTGGGTGAGCCGCCGCCGGCCAGAAATTGGTAAATGCACGTTTATTCCCACTGATAAGGTCGTCGGCCTCTTAACTACATCTGGGTGTCGTTTTATGGGGCCTTAAAGGTGTTGTCTCGTGAAAAAAAAAACAACTAGAAAGGGAAAATGAATAATGTTTACCTTCGCATATGGTCTGCTCTGTTAATTCGTACTCAAACACATTCATATATATCGTGACTGGAGTCTAAATCCTTCCTGCTATAAAATTGCAACATGATGTAACCCTACACTAGTTACTATGGTGAGAGACGTCTGGTTCAGGTCATTGACCTTATTTGTTTGGAGAACAAGAGGAACAAACTGAGCAAAATAAATATGTTTTCCTTCGGGAAACATAATGAAATCTCTCAATGGAAAAGTTAAAGGTGCATCGGCATTATGTCTATACATGCACACAATTCAAAAGCACTACCAGACTTCAACAAAGTATCCACATTAGAATAAAAAAAATATTATATATAGGATTTTAAGGACAAACATGATGTGATATATGCTGTAGTGATGTTAAAAAGTCGTCATCCCACGAGGTTATATCCATGGTAATAACAAGTAATACTAATACAACATCGCAGCAACGCATCCTGAATTGTATTGCAGTTTACAATATGTACAGCAGTCTAAAATTTGATCACTTCTGCATCAACAGATTAACAGTAAAATGTGATCAGTCATCCATAGAACATTGTACTCATAATGTAGTGATATGAATATACATTTTAAACAGAGTTAACATACAAATACTCTATGGAGGTTATACATGTATTTAACATACACATACTCTGCAGAAGTAAGCGTTTGAAACTAAATTTTACAACTGAGTAAAGAGACTCTTTTTACACAACCAAGTGTTTTATTCACAGCCGAAGTTTTGGTGAATTGCCCTGAGGAATGTGACAGATGGTCACCGAAACGTCTGCTGTTATCAAAACACTTGGTTGTTTAAAAAGAGTCAGTCACTTCCCGACCTGATGGAACTATTCATATGGATCAGTTTAACAACTTTTTTCTACTTCTCTCTTTTTTTCCTGGCAGGTATCTTCACTTGTATAGAAGCGCAGTTCAACCTTGTTCGTCAGATGGGTTACTACCTCATCCAGACGTACATCCCCAGCCTGCTGATTGTCATCTTGTCCTGGGTCTCCTTCTGGATCAATATGGACGCTGCTCCGGCCCGTGTGGCTCTAGGAATAACCACAGTGCTCACCATGACCACACAAAGCTCGGGCTCCCGGGCCCAGCTACCCAAAGTCTCGTACGTCAAGGCCATCGACATCTGGATGGCCGTGTGCCTACTCTTCGTCTTCGCTGCGCTCTTGGAGTTCGCGGCGGTCAACTTCGTCTCCAGGCAAGACAAAGAACTCCTCAGGATAAGGAGACGGAAACAAAAGAACAAGAAGGTGGGATGTCCCAAGATTTATTTGTTTTTTGTTTATTTATTTATTTATTTGCAAAATCATGCCCAAAGCTTTTACAGTGGCAAAGATACTATACGGTACAATATAATAATAGAGGACAACTACTGTCTGGAAAATACTTATACTTCTACTACTACGCTTGCTATTATGAGGTTTGACCTCTTCTTTGAAGGCAGTGGGTAATGAATAGTCCCACTTTCTGCATAATGAGTGGGTTTTGTTTCGTAGGAACACAGTCGTTTGGTGATCTTTTATTCAACACCAACTACATTTCATTTCAACCTGTTTCCATTTCACATTTTCCCTATAGCAAATTCGAGTATAAAAACGCAAGTTTCAATGAACCAATAACTGCGTGACTGAATTAATTTTTCCTACGAAGTGACATAATTTGATCGTCGACATTTAAACAAAAAATTGAATAATGAACGAGAAACGGCAGAAAACGATTCACAAAGATTTCAACGCTTCTCATAAAGCAACAAATACCGTCTCCATAAATCCAATATAATCTCACCAGAAATGTGATAAAGGCGAACACTCGGCAACAAAGACTTGAACACTAGTATGTATTCAGGAAAACTATCCTCTTGAAGGGGTTCCCATATTGGGTAGGAAAGTTAATAGCTCAATGCTGAACGATCAGTGCGACATTCATTCTTAGCATTCTTTAAGGGCTAAAAAGAGGGACCAGAAAACTGAAACTGATAAAAGAATGCTCAAAAGATAAGTCTAGGTACTGTATGGGACTGCAAACTGAAAAATCGTTCTTTCAGGCTCTATTTTTGAGCCACGTTTTACTGCAAGTTTTTACAATGATCCTTCTTGGATACATTTGTATATTTTCATACATTCAAACCACACTCCACCCCCATTCCAAGTTGATCATTAATAGTCCCTAATTGTTTCCATCTTCACATTTCTGTCAGCTATGTATTGGACCCGGTGTACTGTATGGGACTACACATCGAGACTCGTTCGTTGAGGCTCCTTTTTTTAGCCACGTTTTACTGCAAGTTTTTTTACGATGATCCTTCTTGGATCCATTTGTCAACTTCCATACATTCAAACCACCCCCCACCCCCATTCCAAGTTGATCATTCATAGTTTCTAATTGTTTCCATCTTCACATTTCTGTCAGCTATGTATTGGACCCGGTGTACTGTATGGGACTACACATGGAAACTCGTTCTTTCAGGCTCTTTTTTTTTAGCCACGTTTTACTGCAAGTTTTTACCATGATCCTTCTTGGATACATTTGTCTACTTCCATTTATTCAAACCACCCTCCACCCCCATTCCAAGTTGATCATTCATAGTTTCCCTAATTGTTTCCATCTTCACATTTCTGTCAGCTATGTATTGGACCCGGTGTACTGTATGGGACTACACATCGAGACTCGTTCTTTGAGGCTCTATTTTTGAGCCACGTTTTACTGCAAGTTTTTACCGTGATCCTTCTTGGATACATTTGTCAACTTCCATACATTCAAACCACCCTCCACCCCCCATACCAAGGCACTCATTCATCGTTCCTAATTGTCTCCATCTTCACATTTCTGTCAGCTATGTATTGGACCCGGTGTACTGTATGGGACTACACGTTCGTTGAGGCTCTTTTTTTTAGCCACGTTTTACTGCAAGTTTTTACCATGATCATTTTTGGATACATTTGTCTATTTCCATACATTCAAACCACCCTCATTCCAAGTTGATCATTTCATAGTCCCTAATTGTTTCCATCTTCACATTTCTGTCAGCTATGTATTGGACCCGGTGTACTGTATGGGACTACACATCGAGACTCGTTCTTTGAGGCTCTATTTTTGAGCCACGTTTTACTGCAAGTTTTTACCATGATCCTTCTTGGATACATTTCCATAGGGCCCTGTCACACTTCTGCGAATAGACTTGCGTATGGGTTGCGTACGGGCAATTTTTTCATACGCAGCTGTACGCAAACTGCGCACTTCATATGCATCTCAGTCGTTTTTGTAAGTTTTGTGAACGCCGGCATGCGCACAGCGCACGCACCGCCCGGCTCAGTACGTAGCGTAGTTTTGAGCATGCCCAAAACTACGCTGCGTACGCTGTTACGCAGTTCATGCGTTTTTGATATGTAATGCATCGGTCAAGCACGGTATGAGTACGCTATGTGCTCGTGGGGGACACGCGGCCCATACGCTGATCTGCACCTGGAACTGCACCTGTGCATAAGCTGCGTACAATGGACGAATGCATTGCGTACTTACAGCGCTTTAGTACCGTTCGTATTGCAACAGGACAGCGCATTGTACGCATTTATAACTAATTAGAAGCGCAAAGGTTGCGTACCGATCTAGATAGCAAACTTGCCGAACACCTGGGCTACACCCGGGGTACCGGCTCCTCTAGAACCCATGGTTAACAGACCTCCTGGAGCATTTTACGCAAGATGTGACAAATCAAATGAGTTGATTACTATGTTAAGATTGGCTCTTTCTAATATGTTTTGCTGAAAAGTAGATGATTATTGGGAAAACGTCTTTCCTAGGGTGCAATATGTTTTACAAAAATGCATTTTCACACTTCTTAACACAAAAGAACACCCTTGTACCGCCTCCATATCCATACTGCATCAATATATCTAAATTTAACATAAGTATTTGCTTTTTGTTGCCTGTACTTTGGAATAATGCGCCAGTTGCCTGTTTTTGTGTCGGTAAATTGTATTGCCCGCAGAGATGTGTGATGTCCATGCTATCTGTGTGTAAGCGAAATTGTAAATTGTATGTATTGCAAGTATGGGTGTTTTCATTGTTTTCAAATTATTAAGAGAGGGCATTTCTTGACATCTCCAATTCATCAAGGCTATTAACAGTCTAACTGTTATGTTTGTATAAAGTCCGGGTACGGGAATTTAATTTACCTGACAATATATTACAGGAAATTGACCAGGGCTGGGGCGAAATAGAAACAAACACATTTTAACTGAGTTGAGGGCGGCCCATGAATGACTCACTGCAAATTAAACAGCAGGAAGCAGCAGGGAATACGCACACGAGACGCTTGGCATTCGTCGGAAGTGCGTTAGGCATCCGGTGGGAATATGTTGAGTGCGTCTGGAATACGTTTGGTCTTCGCAATGCATGTGAACGCCATACGGATGTCAAATGCAATCTATTCGCTGAATTCGTTATTTATACGCTACAAGTGCGTTACAGTAACGTTACGTATTGTGCCTACGGAAGAAATGCCTGTACGCAATTCAAACGCAATGGCTATTCGCAAAAGTGTGACAGGGCCCATACATTCAAACCACCCTCCACCCCCCATTCCAAGTCATGATCATTCATAGTTTCCCTAATTGTTTCCATCTTCACATTTCTGTCAGCTATGTATTGGACCCGGCCTACAGGTATACCCGTATGATGAGGTAGGTTAACGTCAGGTCTTTCACCCCCCCATGATCTATGATGTGCATATTGTTTACCTCTCGTGCACTCAAATCAGCTATAATTGAATTTGCTGAAAAATTGTCGTCTCCCATGTTCTAACCCTAATCTGCTTCGATTGCTATCGACTTTTAACACGAAGGCAGGCGTGTTTACCCCCTTTCTTCCGTTTCTGCACACCGTTATACAACGTTTTACCATGGAAAAAAGGGGAGTCAATGGATAAGATCTCATAGTAAATCGCGCTCATTGTCTTTCTGCGACATACGGGCATGGTTTCTATCATGTAACGTCAATAATATATGAGGGCAGCGATCGAGCACTGTTCAGGCGACATGGCAGTTGACAGATGGTGTGACCAGAGACACGGAAGAAAGACATGATTGATCTAAAACCAATGGCTTTTCTAATGACAGCTCCCTACCTTAATCACACGTTAGTTGCACGTAATTCAATACGCCACCCCCATAATACTAGCTTCTTTCATGCCTGTTTTGCATATCATAAAACATCGTAAAACAGAAATATATCGATATATAAGCTACATATATCATGTTACAGTTAACAGTAACATTTTGCTTACATCTGTCTTTTAGTTTATTGATGAAATTTGTCAAATGAGTTTCAGCTAGTCTTGTGAAACTCACCTTTAATTTGATACTAAACAACAGACAAATAGAACAGTATAACAACAGCCTAAACTTGGTTAACCATCCTTAAAAATGGTTCAAACAAACAAAAAAAACAAACTTATATTTTAGTTTCTAGACATTACATATAGACAGTGTCCTATACGTACGCAATTCATAGCTTCTGCATACTAGTATTTCAATAGAATGAGTTTTTATCAGTTGGCACTGAAAATGAAATAATTCTTTCCATCGATGGTGTAGGTAAAGGGTATTGCAAACTAACCCAAGGCTCATACAAACAAATTGTATGTATCATCAATTACAATAACAATAAACGATTACTTTGATTATTTTTCAAAGGGGGGAGTGAAATGCCTTCTGATTTTTTTACGTTATTTTCATACCTTTACACTGGAAACAGATGGGTTTTTTTGCCCTTGGGAAAGGCACTTTACACGAATTTCCTTACTCCACCCAGGTGTGAATGGGTACCTGAATTCGGTTGGGGAAAGTCGTATTGAGGTCACCTGGTGGCGCCGAATGGCAGCCGCACAGACCCTTGCGACAGTTTCACAAAAATGTGCGTGGAGAAAATATATTTCTCTTGTATCATGTGATTGTAAACCCTGCATCAATTCACCACTATATAAGGCTGCAATCACACGGGTAATGTTTGACCAATAAACCATTTATTATTTTCAAAAAATGTTTTGTAAATTTTTTTGCACATACTAGAGCTGTAGTCATGAGAAGTCAGGGCATGCCCGTAGCCATGTCGGGGGGTTCGGCTCCACAAGGCTCAAAGGTCCACTTTTTGGTCCACTTTTACCTAAAGGTCCAAGATTTTTCTATAGATGGACTGATTCATATTAACCGGTGGGGCTGGAATTGTATAAAAACTGCCTACTTTGTCATTG